GGGGGGGGGGCTGTTAACACGTTACCTTGTTAAAACCCAATTCCAGCATTAGCCTGTCTGCCACGAATTCAATGTACTGTGTCATCAAAGTGCAATTCATTCCAATCAGCTTCACGGGCAGGGCCTCCGTAAGGAATTCCTGTGGGCCACAACAAAGCTTAGAGCCCAAGGAGAAAGACGTCTGTCCTCTGGCAAGCTGGAGGGGCCCCCGTACACACCTGTTCTATCCTGACAGCATTCACAATGATTTCTTGTACTCTCTGCTCTGAAGGTTTGTGCAGCAGGTGTTTGAACATGAGGCAGGCAAAGTCACAGTGCAAACCCTGGAAGAGAAGGTTTCGAATTAGGAGGAAGCCAAAGAAATGCTACCATTAACTTGGAACATGAAATATGGCTTTCTTCTTCTCAGTATGGGCCTTATTCAGCCTGCCTGACTATACAGAGAAACTGTCGGAGGGCAGTGACTACATACATCGCCATGCTGCTTGGACCCAGGAAGTTTCAGCCCTTTTGAAGGACCTCCAAGAGGCCGCCTGAAGTAAGGGCAGCTTTGGGTGATGGCGAGGGATGGAACAGAAACCCCAGAGGACTTTTTCTTTCCAGAGCGGTGAGCTCTACTGATGCCACTCCTTCCCAGCAGGAAAGGCCATGCTCAGGGAGCAGGCTAATTTGATTTCTAAACTTACCCCTGAAAAATAAAACCCACCCAACTCACGGCCACCGTCTCACAGGCTAGGACAGAACTAGCCTTCTGTATGTTTCTGAGACAATAACTCTCTTATGGGAGTAGAAAGCCTCATCTTTCTCCCTCGGAGTAGCCGGTGGTTTCAAGCTGCCGACCTTGTGGTTAGCAGCTCAACCCACGACCCAGCGCACCACCAGGTTCCCTACAGGTTCCCCATGTAGGGAACGCCTAATGTTCCCTACTGTTCAAGGTGAACCAACCGAAAGTCCTTGTGTACCCAATCCAATTCCCAGTCTAGTGGGGGCTCATGCTTCCCATCTTCGACAGGGCTTAAAATAACCAAACCCATCATTACTTCTTCCACTTAATCCAGTGCATTCAATGGCAACCACACACACACACACACACACACACCCTCAAAGAGAACAGAAGGACCCTCTTCCATTGGGATGCTTACCACTGCTGGGATTGTATTAGTTATGCTGAGCTAACAATAATCAAAGGACACCAAGCAAAAGTTAATAACTGAAAATAACAAAACCTCTTGAAAAACCCCAGTTTGGGGGAGGCATCGAAGCCTGTAAGGCAACAGGTACATATAAATGCATTATAAATATAAACTCAAGAAAGTGTAAAGTAATCCCAGTAACTTTTGAGTAGCTCCTTCTTTGTGGATATGAATGTGAATATGCAGGTGAATTCACCTGGTACCTTAGGGGTAACTACAAGTTGGCACTTGAAGACTTAACCTGCTACCTCAACGACTCACCTCATCTCTGCTGATAAGTTCATTGGAAAACGTGAGGCCAGGCATTAGTCCTCGCTTCTTGAGCCAGAAGATGGAGGCAAATGAACCGGAGAAGAAGATGCCTTCCACTGCTGCAAAGGCTACAACTCGCTCTCCTGTAAGAATTAAGATCACACATTTCTCCTGAGGACTGGCACTCTAGGAAGGTCCAATGAGCCAGAAGCTTCCTTAGAAAGCCAACTTTTAAGGAGGGCCAAAGGTCTCCTCACCATAGGTAGCTTCTTTGTCTCCAATCCAACGCAAGGCCCAATCTGCCTTCTTCTTCACACAAGGCATTGTCTCAATGGCATTGAAGAGATACTCCCTGGAAGCACGCACAGGTTAATCAGCACTTGCAGCAAAGACCTGGACCACCACATTCTAAGCAACAAGGGGTCTGAGACCAAATTCACACCTTTGCTGATCCTGTTTCTAAAGGGAGAACCTAAGTGGAAATGTCTTTTCCCCGTGTTTTTCTCATAGAATTCTTTTGAAAGAATTCAACGTTTGATTTATGTGAATACAAAACTTTGTTCCTACGGAGTCCCCAGATGTAAAACAGTCCATTACACTAAGGACATTATTTATTTTGTATTGGCTGAATTTCTTTCAAGTCCAGATCATGACACGTGCCCTAGCCTTATCTCAAATTTGAAGAACCAGAAAATCACAACTCTAGGACTGCTGAAATAGGCTTTTCTGTCCCACTTAACAGGCAGTCCTTAAAGAGTATTCTTTCCGGAATTCTACTGCCTACCCTTCACCTCCCATTCACCTCGGTGCCCACACATTCCCTCAAGACCCTTCGCTGCTTCAGAAACCTGCGCCTGCCTTCCCCTTGCCCTAGTCCTGCTTCAACCCAGCATGCTTCCTCACTCCTTCCTCCTCTTGTCAATGGGTCCTGACCTCCCTGTATTTCCCCAAAGAGAAAACGAGCCTTTGCCAAGGTCTTTAAACCTTACAGTGGACATGGTACAGGAGGGACTAGTCATGCTTGGGCGTGTCAGAGGAACATTGGCCATTACAGTGTCTATGAATTTGTTTCTCTAGTCGACAAAGACTGACACAAAGGCCTTCAAGATGGACCTACAGAATGACTGCAATGAATGGGCTCAAAGACAGTAAGGGACAGCATTGCATTGTTTTAGTTACTGAGTCAGAATCCACATGTTGGCACACACCAATTATTTGGCCTAAATTGATCCTATGGCGGCTCACGGCCTCTGTGTATTACGCAATTCATCTGTTTTCCAGGTAGTTTCTTTCCTATGCTACACCACAAACTTCCCAAAAAGCAGGCTATTTAACATACTCCCCTACTCTTTCCCACCCTGACTCACATTTTCCTCTGCATATTTGCAACACAAAGACTCTCAGATCTAGACTTTAGGTCATCATATAAAACCACTAGGTTTTAAAACCCAAAATAAAGGCCTTAGATTGGACTCTTCACAGTCTGTTTTCCTGAGCCACTCAAGCAATTTGCTATTGGCTGCTAACTGAAGGCTGGTGGTTGACACCCACCCCATGGTCCCACAGGAGAAAAGCCTAGGGAACTACTTCCATCAAGAGTACAGCTAAGACAAGCTGATGAAGCTGTTCTAGTTTGTAACAGGCAGGGTTGCCTTGAATGGAATTCAACACCCTAAAAGTGGGTTTCCTTTTTGGGGATCATGAATGCAAAACCTGCAGTAACAATCCAAGAATCCTGCACATCTTAACATTACCACCACCCCCATACTCACCTTTCCTTGGAATCTTTAATGTAAGTGTCAATCAGGAGACTATACATTTCAGAATGTATGTTTTCCATAGCAATTTGGAAGCCATAGAAACAGCGGGCCTCTGTAATCTGAACTTCTTGGCTAAATCGCTCCACCTAGTGGCAAAGCAGGGGAGAGTCAACCCTAAGCTGCTGCTCACCCAACACTGGATGACATTGGTCATATCACACTCCCTTTGGTAAAGTTTTAAGATTCTTTTTTTAATTCTTTCAAAGAACCTGTCACAATAAGGTTTGTATGTGCACACAAATGACTGGAACAGCAGGCACCAAGAGGGGTAATGTCAGAGCAACGAGGGCTAACCTCAACGCTATCATTTTAAACATCGTTGTAAGGGCTTCTCGGCAAAATACCATGCTGAAAAACTGCAAAGCCCACCATAAAACAAGACAGGTAACACAGTTAGCCTATCTGCGTATAGATACATTCGATACTTAGAAAATTTTCAAAGACAAGGAGGACAAGGTACTTTCACCGACGCCATGGGGGTGAAAGGACTTTTTCTGGAAACTCACCAGGTTCTCATTCACGATGCCGTCACTGGCTGCAAAGAAAGCCAGAACGTGGGATATGAAATATCTCTCCTCGGGCTTCAGAGCTTCCCAGTGCTGAATGTCTTTAGAAAGATCCACCTGAAAGTTACAAATCCAGAGTATTAGCACGATGGGGGAGGATCCCAACACACACACAATCTACAAGGACCTGTTGGTATTTCAAACAAAGTATTGCCGGCTACCATGGGGGGAGGAGTGTGTCCCAGAGGTGAGGGCAGCGAGCAAGTTCCTGCATTACCTCCTCGGCCGTCCAGAAGGAGGCCTCAGCTTTCTTATACATCTGCCAGATGTCATGGTACTCGATGGGAAAGACGACAAAGCGGCGGGGGTTCTCCTTCAGCAAGGGCTCATCCTCCACGCTGGAGGCTGGGGCTCTGGGGCTCTCCTGTGGGAGAAGAAAAGAACCGGCCCCGACGGTGGCTGAGTTTAAGTTGACCCACATAGGAAATGGCCCACCCCACTCCCAAGCATCGGCCATTTCCTTGGGTTCACCCTCGGCAGGGGCGGAAAATGCTCCTAGTTACACATAAAGGCTTGTGAACCCAAACCCCCAAGCTACCACCAGGCGGATGATCCCCACTCCTAGCGACCACGCAAGCCGAACGGAACTGTCCCTGTGGGTTTCTCAACAAGAGCACAAAGTCGCATTCTTTTTCTCACTGGGGGAGGCTGGCTTCCAACTGCCGACCTCGTGACCACTATGCCTATCCTCCTCAAGGTAACTTGCAGTTCGTGTCTGGCGGTGTGCGGGCACCGAACGTTAAATGCCATCCTTGCAGCATTATGTGCACGGTTCAAATGGGCCCAACGGGAAAGAGACGAGAAGGTATTCGTGCAGAAGATGACAGGGAGCGGCACTTTGGCGGGAAAAGGCGGGGGGGAGGGGAAGGGCTGGGGGGAGGGGCAAGCGGGAAAACAGCTGACGGGACAATGCGGGCCGCTTTGGCGCCAAGACGCGTCTCTCCAGGGCGCCCCCTCCCCCGAGGCCGGCGACTCACCGGCTCCTGGAAGATCTTCCTCGCCGCCTTGCTGGCCAGGACGCGGGCGCTGCTGAGGGACGGGGGCTGCGGAGAGATGCGCGGTGAGCCGGGTGGGGTCCCCTCCCTGCCCCGC